AACACACACAGCCACAAACACAACCGCAAAAACACAACCACAAACACGCAACCACAAACACACAACCATAAACACACAACCACAACACAACACCACAAACACAACCCCACAAACACACAAACACAGACACAACCCCACAAACACCCACAAACACAAACACAAACACAACCACAAACACACAACCACAAACACAATCACAAACACACAACCACCAACACAACCACAAAAACACATATCCACAAACACAAAGACAAACACAACCACAAACACACAACCACAAACACGCAAGCACAAACACAACCACAAACACCCAACCACAAACACACAACCACAGCCACAAATACGAGCACAACCACAAACACACAACCGCAAACACATCCACAAACACAATCACAACCACAACCACAACTTCAAACACACAATCCCAACCACTACCAGTACCACAACCACAATCACAAACACACAGCCACAAACACAGCCACAAACACAACCGAAAACACATCCACAAACACACAATCACAAACACACAGCCACAAACACACAATCACACACAACCACAACCAAAACACAGCACACAACCACTACCACAGCACACAACCTGAGGACCCACAAGCAAATTCGAGATCTACACTAATCACGACCATTGCAACATGCTCGTCGCTATGCCATCAAGACAAATGATTGAAGTGGCATGGTGGGGATCACTCGAAGTAAAGTAATTCTGGTGTGGTTGAAGTGAAACAGTCTTGCTGGTCTATTGCCGGCCAAACAGTGTAGCCTACTGCTGTACATGCCTTCTTCAGGCTTTACTCATCTCTGGGAAGTTGCCTTCTCCAGGCTCTACTGCTGGAGTGTTGGGAAAGCTTGGTTCACCATCCAAGACATAAGAACTCTCTGTGCAGAGATCTGGCAATTGTTTTTGCCACCCCTGGCTCTGAAATATTGCAGGGTGTACCCATAGGTTTCGTCCTTGTAGCACCAGGTGTCCTTGGGGTTCATACTTGTGAATTTGATGTCATCAAGTATATGGTCGAAAAGGTGCCACTTTGGTCTGGAGTGGTAGTGGAGGTGCTCATCTTTACTCACTGCAGCCTTCTCCACACTCATCCATTGCTCCTTGAGCAACCTTCCATACCTCTCCGACCTTGGCAAGTCAGCCTTATCCAGGCTTCTGTACATTTTGCTTTCTGATAATCTTTCACATTGAGCTTTTGCAAGCGCATGGAGTGAGCAGTGCCTTCCTTTTCATAGGTGCTCTTGATCATTTTGTACAATTCCTTTGTCCTCAAGTCTTTGTTCCTGCCTGGGCAATACTTTTGGAATTCATGGATGCACTGTCCTGCAATGGATGAGGCTATGCCTCCATCCACTACATGCATCCAATCAGGCTTCATAGACTTGTTTGAAAGGTTTGCCAATTGGAAAAAGGGGCTGGCTGCCTTGCCCTCTCTTCCAAATTGGCAAGCCAATAAGCCTTCTGCAAGCTCTGGGCCTGCCTTTCCTCCAGGCTTTGGGCTTTCCAAGTAGATGGTGTAGCTTGGCAAAGCTAGCGCATACCCATGTTGGTATTGTGGTTGGGGGCACCATGCACTTTCACATGCCAGTCCCAGTCACCTCTCAACTGGACCACAACTGCCTTCTCCAGGCTTTGGCCAGCCTTTGCTTGCCTGTCTTTGTCAAGCTTCTTGCCATCATGCCTTCTGCAGGCTCTCTGGCCACGTGCCAGCTGCTTCAAGGACCATGTAATCGCTTTCATAATTTCTTGGTAGGTTTCTTGGCGCAAAGAAAACTGCTGGTCCAAGCAGCAGATCAAAAATCTTGTGTGCCCATTCTTTCTGGAACCTACAAAGTTGATTGTCCAATAGCCTGGGTCTGGGAATCTCCCAAAACCCAGCTGGTCATCCCAAACGGGCTTGGTTTCCACATCAGTGTTCCACCAGTTCCCATCATTAGACCTGTCATGGATCCATTCTTTGATGCTTGGACCCTTTTTAAAAGCCTTCTGCAGGCTCTCCATCTCCAGTGCATCGAGTTCATCAAACCATCCTTTGTGCCTTCTCTGCCACACATAGTAGTACTTTCCAATAGCGCGCCCTCCACCAATAGAGGCTCTCCATGCCTTCTGCAGGCTGCACAAAGCCAATGATGGCCAACAGTGTCAAAATGGCCAAAGCCTTCTTCTGGCTCATGTTGGGGCAGCTAGCCTTCTTCAGGCTCAGGGTGGCAAAGGCAGCCATGGTTCAAGCCCTACCTAAACCAAAGCTGTTCACCCACCATGTGTTCTTCCCCTTACACTCTGTGGGGTGAGTGTGTGTGTGTGTGGTTGCATATGTGGTCCATTCAATAGGTGTAATGTGGAAAACATATGTGTCAGTGTGTTCAGTTTGTTGCAGTGTGAAAAGTGGAGTATATACACATGGTATGTTTTTGAACTTGTGTTGGTGTGTTTGCTTGCTGTGTGTAATGTGGAAAATATGTTGGTACATGGCGCTGTGTGTGTGTGTGTGGAATGTGTTATATGAAATGTTCTTTGCTTGTGTGTATATGTTTGTATGGCATATGTGTGTGGCTGTGTGTGTGTGTTTGCATGACATGGCATGGCCCAGTCTTTGCATCCCTCTAGAGCCAAAAACCAAACATCTACACCTTCTTCAGGGTCAACTACCTAGGTTTCCTATACCTTCTTCAGGTTCCCAGGGGTCGTAGTCAAACCAACACCCCTACACAACCCCTAAACCATACCAACTCCACCAAACCACCACCAATCCCTTCCAGAACCCCTTTTTTGCAACATGCACAGGCATGTCAGCTATGTACAAGCCTTCTTCAGGCTCTTCCCTACTGGCTGGTGCAAGCCTTCTTCAGGCTCTTGCTTGCTGCTTTGCTTCACTTGCTGGGCATGATGTTGTTCTTGAAATCAACCAAGTCTGCCTTCTCCAGGCTTTGTCCTTCTTTTCCTTTTTTGCCAGAGGGTATCCATGACCTCATCCCTGGTAGCAGATTTGCGCATTTCAACTTTCACTAGGCACATGGGTTTCTTGCCTTCTTCAGGCTTGTATTGAATGTAGGCCTTTTTGTTGGCCCTGGTTTGCTTGGCCACTCCAAAACTGGCAGATGGCTGCCATCCACTCTGGTGGCCTGCTTGGCAGCCTTCTGCAGGCTTTGCCATGGGAGCCTTGCTCTCCTTTGCAGGCTTTTTCTGGCTTGCAGCACGCTTCCTCATGGATGGCTTCTTGTAGAGCCTTCTGCAGGCTTCTGCAAGCTCTTCTGGTGCCACCAATGATTCTTGGGTGCATTGCGCTGTGCTTTCAATTTCCACCACTTCGGCTTCATCTCTTGATTCCCCTTCCTCCTCCAAAACTGGGTCAGTCTTTTTCACCAGTCTTCATGTTTCGCCTTTTCCTCCCAAGGAAGGATCTGATATCAAAAATTGCATTTGCAATTGTTTTTTCTGTCAGCCTCAGAGGCTCTGGGCTGTGCTTCTTTGATGGCCTGCCTTGTCCCTCGGTGCTGGCTGGTGTGGTCATTGGCCTTTGTTTGGGCCAGCTCCTGGAGTGGATCATCTTGGCGAGGCTAGCCTGGACTGTCCATTTGCGTCAGCAGAGCTTCTGGCTTCGTAATTTTCAGGTGGCTAGGGCTCGGATTGCATGAGCCTGGATCTGTGCGCTGAGCTGATTGCGCTTCGTGCTGAGGTGGGTTCTCTCCGGGACCGGATTGCGGCCTTGGAGGGCGGGAAGTCGGAGTCAGGGCCTGCTGCGGTTGTGCCTGTCACTGTGAACTATCATGCTTCCGCCCTTTCTGAGGCGCCTGTTGCTCCAGCCT